TATATTGGATTGATTTTAATTTATGTGATGATTTTATAACTACTACTAAACATAAATTCAGCATAGAGTGATATATTTGTTAACAAACTAGTTAACCTGATACCACTTTAAGTGAAGGTGAAAATTTCAAGTGGTTAAAGGATCAAATAAAATAATAGTTGAAAAGAAATTATTCAACTTGATATAATATTTTCGATTGATTTAAGTTATCAAGAAATTAATGTTGGGGGATTTATAACTACTTCTACACATAGGTTCAGTTAAAGATCGCTTTACGTCGCCAAGAAAATGTGTCTAAAGTGCATAACTATGGTAACTTCATGGACATGGAGTGAAGTGAAATACCAGATACAAAATGAGCTATCCTGATATGATCTATAGTGGTGAAGTAAGTACGGAAATTTCAATGGTTAAGTGGTTGGAAGAGATGGACATTCAAAAAATGAGGGTGAAGTAAGTACTAAAATTTAAAATTTTCCAACTAAATAAATACACTAGAATGCTCTTCGAGATTTCAATGTTTAAGTGATGAAAGAGGATCTTTCAACATGGTCATTCAACTTACATTAGTTCATCACAGAGATTTGATCTACCAGTTTAAGCTAGTTAAAAACTATTGGCATGATAATGTACATAGGTAAGAAGAAGTAGGAAAATTTAAGTCTTTAGCTGGATTCTGGATCTTTCTACTTGAAATGAAAATTAGGGTTATTATAACTGAAATAAATACATTAGTTCAGCGCTGGGTGACTTCTATGAAATTACTGCTATAAAGTATTATAATACAATACTCGTTTATTAAAAACAAAACTTTTTTTCTTAGCTATCAGAAATCTAAATATTACAATAGCTAATGAAATGGAAGTATAAAGACTGTTATCGTTTAATATTTTCCCACAATAATGAACTTTTCCCCCTATTTATTTCTAACTTTCGGAAATCCGTTTAGCCTTCCCCTAATTATCCATCAACACTTGCATTGGTTCCCCTTGATATTGGCAATAAAATTGCCACAATTACAGAAAGGGAATTTCCAAGGAAATGCCTGAAGAGCTAATAATGGAATATAGGCCAGGTGTCGCAGAAATCATTTAGATATTTCATATACATAAATACCGGAATAGGTTTTCCAAGTCCAAGTGCATAACGTATAAGTAGGTGAGAGTAAGTTTTTTAGTTAACCATTTATAGAAGAACATATATATCTGGGTGAGATATTAATAAAAATGTTTGCTGATAATAAGCTTACTTCATTGACACGGTTATAGGAATAGGTTGCCAAGTTTTTTTTAGCAAAAAAGATCAAACACTTAAAAAAACAAGTCTTATAAGTCTTAAAAATCAAGAAAAGATGCATAATTATTTAAAAATAATGAATTTATATTCTAAGCCAGATATTTTGATACAGAAAAACGCTTTATCGTTTATGGATCATTTATAGCACCAAACAGTCCGTTAAGATCGTTCAACTGGTTTCTCATTTTGGACTATATGGACCATTAAGTCCAATTGCTAGCTGCATGATCAAGTGACGATCAGGGTCCAGAACAAAAGCCAGTTAAACCGCATTCGTGTGTCCGACTATGGCCGAATCTGCGTAGAGCGGGGAGTAGAAGCAATTTATAATACTCAAATACATGCAATTATTGATTTTATAAGTAATGCCGTGTTATCTGATTGTTTTTTCTATACGGCCTGCCGCGCCTCCCCAACCGCAAAGCTCCCTGAGTGAGCGAATAATATTCGCACGTTCCCCCATCCAAATCGGAGGGAATCCGCACTCCAAAGTCGAGACTATTCAGTTGCGTCGCGACTGTGAAAGCCTCAGGTCTTCAGCTCGAAGGAGGCAATCGGATTGAATTGGATAGGATATCTTCTAGAAAACGGAACTGCATATAACACAGAAATGCATGTACCTCGGGTTAAGGTCATGATGGGCTCGGGAGCCATGTTCGTCTTTGCCATCATCTATGGCTGGGTAATCTTCCCCAAAATTCTCAAGTTAATGATATCAAAGGTTCGGATCGAGAGGTTATCTCAGGGCTCTATATAATGGCTGCTTTCTCCCGATAGCAAGTAACTCTAAAGCCGGGATCGGATGTTCGGGAACTGTGGTCGAACACTCCGTTCCCCCTGCACTTCTACATCTATGTTTTCAACGTTACCAATCCCGACGAGGTCTCTGAAGGAGCCAAGCCAAGGTTACAGGAAGTGGGTCCCTATGTATTCGAGTGGGTTTTGCTAGTCTGTTTTTTACTTATACTATTTAATTAATCGTTATTTCCTTTATTGCTTTTTTTGAGTGAGTGGAAGGACAAGTATGATTTGGAGGATGATGTTGTAGAGGACACCGTCAGCTTTAACATGCGGAACACTTTTATATTTAACGCAAAGGAAACTCTTCCATTGACGGGAGAGGAGGAGATTATTCTTCCACATCCCATAATGCAAGTAAGAAAATATAATATTTGGGTACTTTTCTAGGAAGCTTTAATAAAATAATGTTTAAATATTGTTTAAATACTTGCAGTTTTTTTTCTTTTTATTACAATCTTAAACTTTTTTAAAAGTTTTGACATATTTCTGTAAAACAATGAACTTTTTTTGACTTATGGTTTATATTATTACAACTTTTACACTAAAACAATTTTTTTTTAATGTGCTGGTATTTTTTAATGTATTTTTGTAAGTTCAAGATTCAAAGCCACATCAGATATTTTATAGCACAACATTAGAGATTCTGTCAGCGCATGGTCAGAGCTATCTGGAATTGCATTTAAGGCGCCAGCTAATGACCACGTGGCCCATTGTTGCCTATGTGAATTATGCAAATCACATTCCCAGCCCAAAATAGCAGCCACAAAATTAACCCATTAAAAGTGAAAAATAGACTGTTTGAAGGGGGAAAAACGTCTTTTGTGTTTCTCAAACTAAAACTGCAATTATTTTAAGATTTATTGGGGGCGATAATTATTTTTCCCTGTTAATTTTTCAGCCTGGTGGAATCTCGGTTCAAAGGGAAAAGGCTGCCATGATGGAGCTGGTTTCCAAAGGATTAAGCATCGTATTTCCGGATGCCAAAGCCTTTATAAAGGCCAAGTTTATGGATGTGTTTTTCCGGGGCATCAATGTGGACTGCTCTTCAGAGGAATTTGCGGCCAAGGCTCTTTGCACAGTTTTTTATACCGGAGAAGTTAAGCAAGCCAAACAAGTGAACCAAACGCATTTTTTATTTTCCTTTATGGGTCAAGTGAGTTCTTACCACTAGTTATTACAAAATATATATAAATTATCCCTAAATTATAGGCCAACCACTCGGATGCTGGAAGATTTACAGTATGTCGTGGGGTCAAAAATAACAAGAAACTGGGAAAAGTGGTAAAATTCGACGACGAGCCGGAGCAATCCATTTGGCCGGATGGCGAGTGCAACACCTTTGTGGGCACTGACTCGACAGTTTTTGCACCTGGTATGAAAAAGGAGGATGGCCTGTGGGCCTTCACCCCGGACTTGTGCAGATCCCTGGGAGCCTATTACCAGCACAAGTCGTCGTACCATGGAATGCCCTCGATGAGATATACCCTGGACTTGGGTGATATCCGAGCTGACGAAAGTCTGCACTGTTTCTGCGAAGATCCCGAGGATCTGGACACTTGTCCACCCAAGGGAACCATGAATTTGGCAGCGTGTGTTGGCGGTCCTTTAATAGCCTCAATGCCGCATTTTTATCTAGCCGATCCAAAGCTACTGGCCGACGTAAGTGGCCTTAACCCGAATGAAAAGGATCATGCGGTCTACATCGACTTTGAACTTGTAAGGCATTAACTTTATACTTCTTGATAATATATTTCTAGCATTTCTAATTTGCTTTATTTTCAGATGTCTGGAACACCCTTTCAGGCTGCCAAGCGGCTTCAGTTTAATCTTGACATGGAAGCAGTGGAGGGCATTGAGCCTATGAAGAATCTGCCCAAGCTAATATTGCCCCTGTTTTGGGTGGAGGAAGGTGTGCAACTCAACAAGACCTACTCCAATTTGGTCAAGTACACGCTGTTCTTGTGAGTATAAATGCCGCCACACAAACATTGTACTACAAATTTCAATTTAATTCAAGATTAGGAACCTCTTTAATTTCCATTAATCATCACTTTTCAGGGGCCTCAAAATCAACTCTGTTCTGCGTTGGTCCTTGATAACCTTCTCCGTGGTTGGCCTGATGTTTTCTGCATACCTTTTCTACCAAAAATCTGATAGTATTGACATAACCAACATAATGAAAGAGAATAATAAGGTGGAAGCTGTGAACAATACCAAGGAACCCCTGCCACCAGCTAATCCAAAAAATCCCACCACTTTGCAACCTGCTCAAGGGGGAAATACGCTGATTCCGGGCACCAATCCCACCAATCTTAAAATGGAGCACCGGGAGCATCGGGATCGCTACTAACCCACGGATAGCGATCCCAGCGATCTCTTCACCATAGCCGTAGTCTAATGCACCTGTGTAGTCCAACATGAGCTAATAAATTCAGACAGATATAAGCACATTCGTGTGGGAAACTGGTCGGTGGCCAATCGAGTGATCGCTAATCGATGTTCGCTGATCGCAGATGACAAGATCCGTGCGCTCTACTGACACCAATCAGCATCAGTGGAGATCGGGGAAATGTTTCGAGTCCGCAGCGAAAAACGCAAGACCAGCAATCGAAGTTCGAGATCAGCGATCGCATGGGTCTGTGAATTGACAAATTGTTTTTTAACAATGCCTGCAATGTTTGCAAACCGAAAACAATTGCAGAGACAGCGTTTCGTATTGTAAAACGTTGATAAATGATTTGTAAACATACAGAAATATTTACTCACTTCAAGAATTATTAACAAAAATATATTGTAAGTACACGTTTTGTTACCAGATGTGAAAGGAAAGTTATCTTTATTTCTTGAAGCCTACATTCAGTTCAAAATGGAGTGGAATTTCCTTTAAACTGATCAAATATGTAGTAAATTAATTTTATATTCATTTTAAATATTTTGTTTTCGTTGGAAGGGTAGGGTTTAAACCAATAAAACTTGTGCTTTTACATTTAATTTAAAAAGGATACTCGAAATTTTAGACCAAACATTATATTTATTTTTACTCTTCCGTTTTTTCTATCGGCGTACGAAATTAGTAAAGCTTGGTCCAACAATTTAATAACATTTTAAAACCTATTGAATTTATTGCTATATACAAATTATTTTACTTCTTAAATCTAAATTCCATTCAAGAGACTAAATTCTAAGCGCTTCCACATCTCAATGGCCCTCGAGGATCTCCAACCAATCGATCCTCCAATATAGTTGTATCCTTGGGCAATTCGACAAACTCAAGCAGATCCGCCAACTGTCCACAATTAAGTTCTGCTTCTTCGACAAAGAAATCTTCATCCAAATCTTTTATATAGATCTCCCTAACTTTGTCGTGGGTTATCTCCAAGTAGTTAAGATCCTTCAGTTGAGGCAACATGTCCATGTCAGCCGCGGTCATGTTGTCGTAAGTGAAGCTCAATCGTTCCAATCCCCTGGCTGACGAGATTTTAGGTAAATCTGATAGATTTTCAATGCCCGTCAGATCCAGGTCAACTAATTTACTGGCCTTGGACAGAAAGTCAAGTCTGGTGAGGTTGGTATTGGCCACATAGAGTTGCTCCAGATCCTCGGGGTGGGCTATTTTTAACTCTTTTAGTTTCAGGTTATCCTCCAGTTGGACACCTACTACTCTTCCATCCAATTTGACCGACTCGAGACCACAATTGGTGGCCTGCAGCTCATCAATATTAGCTGTTAGGTGGAGCCTTTTGAGTTCAGGATTAAACGATAGTATGAGAAGTTCTATTTCTAAAAATATGTTGGAAGGAATCCGCTCTAGTTGATTACTTCTGGCTGAGAATTGTGTCAAATGTTTCTGCTGATCTCTGAAAAGATCTCCAGGGAGTTCTTTTAGCTGATTGCTATCCAGATTAATGGATTTTAGATATCCCAATTGTGAGAAGGTGTACGGAGAAATGGCCTTTATCTGATTGTTGGATAAGTTGATCTTCTGAAGTTTCTTGAGGGGCAGGAATATTGTAGTGGGAAGATCCTCCAGCTGATTGTCGGACAAGTTGAGCTCCTCCAAATGTGTGGCCAGTTCGAAGGTGTTACTATCCAAAACTCTGAGGCTATTTCCTCCCAAATTTAGTCTTTTCAAGTTTTTGGAACCCTTAAAGCACTCTCTTTCAATTTGCTGAAGATCACACTCCAATACATCGAGTTCCACGAGTTGAGGAAGATTTAGAAATAATTTTCTGGGCAGGTTGACCAAGCTCGAACTGTGAAGAATAAGAGATTCGTAGTCCCTTAAATCTTTGGTCACCTCTTCTGTAAAGATGGCAACCTCTGAGGGAAGAGGATAATCCAATTTCGTACAGGTATTTTCCCAGCAATCCAAATAATCAACTGCAACTTCCTCGGGTTTTGTTGAAACACAAACCGCAAGACCGATGAGTACGATCAAAATATAGTTCAGATAGTTTAGCATTAGCATCTTGGCAGAAGAAGACCGACTGACTGAGCTTATAACTGGCTTGGAGGGGCATTTTAATACGAAACCAGAACACAGCCTTCAAAAACAACCCTACACGAGTGGAACAGGTCTTTAGGCGTTCGTTTGTTTTGTTTGCATTAATTTATTATTTTTTTCCGAAACGCTCCACAACCCGGTTCGATTTTGGGCTAATAAAATTTTATTGTTCCTCTCAATGAATATTAGCAATGGGGTTTTAATTTGTTTTTGTTTCTACGCTCTGTTGTGAAATAATTTCAGACATTTGGCATAATACCCGGCCGATAAGCACGTTCTCTCGATTCTCCACTTCGGAACGACTCTCTAAGCGGATCACCATGTCATATAGCTATATGGTTTATGGCACCAGTTGTGTCAGCTGATATGATATTGTACTTCCATTCCAAAAGTATGCCAAGTTGGGCTACGTTGGGTCTGGCCGGTATCTGATAAACTTGGGAAGTGCCTACAAGTAGTCGGTTTTGATTGTCATCTTTTTTGATGGGCGATGGTCTAGACCCCAAATGGTGTTAACTATACTAACTATACTACCTAATTTCTTCTCAGAATAGCAGAAGTTATAAAAACATTTACAAAATTAAATAAACAAACATTGTATGTGTCATCTTCAACTATCTTAAGTTGCAATCTATATTTTGTTTAATTAGTTTCCTTATCATGAAATTGTATAATGTATTATATTAGCCCGCATTTGTTACACAATTAAGTTATAAATTAGATCATAAAATCAGATTACGTATCATCTGTCAGAGATTGCAAACTTGTTTTTTTAGCTTGAATATTTGTTTTCTTGCTTGTGAATATTAAAATATTATTCTATACCTTCTAAAAGCGTTTCCGCCTTGAACAAATTTTCAAAAGCACTTGGCTATAAAGTGCCCTGTTTTAATGACAATTAGCTCATTTTCCGCCGGTTATGTCATTACCGATTTCGTCATCAGTACAGTCAAATAGGTAAAACAACCTTTGAATATCTTAAACATTTAGCGCTCGAGTGACCAATAAACCTAATGAAACAAATCAAGTGCCATAAACCGAAGGCGCCATATAAAATCCCCCACGTTTCTACGTGTATATGCGGCGTGACCGATTGGCCGCTATATGTTCATTTATATGGTCGCATATCGTATTTGTTTACCCTGCTAAACTATTGGGGGAAATTTGATTTGAATAAAGTTCAGACGGCGGGGACAAAGTCTGCTGGAGGCACAGCAAAAACGCTGGTAATTCTCACTCTTTTTCTTCTCGGGACTTGTATGCAAAGTAATTGCGGCAAATTGAATTGAACAAAGGGGGCGCAGATGACAAAATGTATCGCTAAACGAAGTCATGCCGTTTCAATTGAGCCACCACAACAATAGATATAGATATAACTATAGCAGTCTTGTATCAAATAATTTAAAAATCATTGGCTCATAATTAGCCCAATGCAAATAGGCAGATCAATTGTGATATGAGTATAAGTAAAGAAATTACCTTTTGCTATTCAAATTGTTTGCCAAGGAATAAGCTATGGAAACCCCCCAAAATCCCTCCGAATGGAAAATAATTTTTCAAAAATTTCAACAAGCAAATAAATTTGTTTGCATACAAATTAATAAAGCTTTACTTGTCTTTGCGGCTCGTCATAATCTTTTTGTTTTCACCCGCAAAGCTGTAAATAACAAATTGAGCGACTGAAAGCAGGTTGAACGTGTTCCCAGCTCGTTCGCTAATATATTGGTTAAGAATTTTATATTTTTCCACTGACATGTCACCAATTTGTACTCTCAGGCCAGGCGAAAGTTCTGGGTTAATATAATTTATTAGTGTTCTCGTGTTAAATACACTGAAAAGGGGCATACATTCTTGCTAATTATCGTTGAACCCATGCCAAATGATTGTTTAAAAATAAAAGCTGAATAAAATACAGTTAACGGAAGTACTAGTGTTCTTATCAAACCGAAATCCGTATGCCCTCCACCAAAGCAACAATCTTCAAGTTGATTAATATTGAGTCATACTGGCGGCAATCAGCAGAAATGTATATTAAAACAAAAATATAGTCCATAGCAATACAAACGACTTTTACGATCAACAAAATTTTAAATGGGTAGTGTGTCATAGAAATATATTTGAAGAATCATTGCACGCGCCTACTTGTTTCGTTTAATTAGATGGGAAAAGCCATTGAGCCACAGGTAAAATACTCTTACATATAGGTGTATTTCAATGGTTAAGTATCTGGCCTTTTGTCCATTATCAGCAGCCAAGAGATTTCCACCTTTTGTTCAGCAAATCGCCGAGTAAACACTTCATGATAAGAGAACATGGGGCTGGACAGGCTGAAATTGTTCAGAAGATATTGTGCAATGTTTTTGGTTCGAATTTAGTGGCTCTCGTCAGATCGGTGAATGGAGGCAACAGAGCGGGAACTTCACAGAACAGCGGAAAATAATGAATAATAAATGGGAACCCACGAACATGTGTCAAAATAACGATGACAGCAAAATGAATCCGACTTTTCAGATTCCACAGACAGTAATGGACATGATATACTTATCTATTCTCAACAATATTTGCTTAAAAAAATAAGTGCATTTAAAATAATGCGAATAAAATCTGGTTTTTGAAAATAATAAAGCCCTAACATTTCAAAATATTTTTCCAAAACTCATAATAGTTCTGAATTACAATTTAGCATATTTAAGTTTTAAGAAATTCCAAGCCATAACAAGTTTCTAAATAAGTCGTACTTTTGAACGAACTAACTATTTTAGGAAATCGTATTTGCTTTAGACAGTAACAGATTGCTTACTAGCAAAGACCATTGCAAAAAATGTTATGATCTTAAACCTTGTATCTAAAAAAAGAAGAACGTTTAACAATAGAAAAGATTTCCTCAGATGTATACAGTAGGAATCAGAATAAAATCTATTATACTTCAAATCCCAAGTAAACATACATAAATTTAACAAGTATTATACTTTAAGTTTTAAATCGTGCTAAGTAGTTTGTCCAATATTTTTGTAACGCACTGTACTTTTTATATATGAACCATATTATTTTTTGCAAAATCAAAACACCATGAATAGAATGAAAATTATATAGAACTGATGATCATTATTCGAGCATTATAGGAGGGGCTTATCTGACTAGGCGTTTGGCGGTCATCATTTGGAATCAGTTTCAGGTCGATCGTGAATCGTGGAGCACGCCAAATGTACGTCCGGAATTGTTTGGTGTTACTCTGGATCTGTTTGCTGATCTCGTTGGCGGTCGTTATACGCGCCAATGGGGATGGGGATGAGTCCGAGGAGAATCTATCGCGAACCGTTCTGGTTCCCAGTCTGGAGGGTCATTGCCAAACGGAGGGCAAGGTGACCAGCTGCAGTGGTTTCCAGTTCGAGAGTGAGGACGAAAAGGCCACCTTTGATCTGCCAACGGAGGTGAGGATTGCTGAGGATGGTACCACCTACGAGGTGGGCGATGAAGTGCCCTCCAGAACCCTGATCTTTGAGAACTGCACCTTCACCAACTTCCCCCTGCGACTTTTCTACACGCTGGAGGTGAGTGAGTTGGACATGCGAAGCTGTGGCATCCGCTTTATCTACTGGGAGAACTTCTCCATTGGAGCCGAAAAGCTGGTGATCCTCCTGCTGTCGGATAATAAGTTAGAGATGCTGCCCATGGGAACTTTTAGGGGAGCGGGAAACCTGGAGTTCCTCTTCCTGAATCGCAATAAACTGGGTAAACTCCATGCGGGTGCCTTCGAGAATCTGAAAAAGTTGCAGTACTTGGATTTGACGGAGAATCTCCTGGAGATTCTGCCAGGAGATATATTTTCGGAACTGAAAAGTCTTAGACACGTGGGTCTGGCCCACAACCAACTGACCATCACAGAGAGCGATCTATTTGGACAAAATCCCGGACTCTTATCGGTTGCAATGCAAGACAATAGACTTCAGGAGGTGGGCGAGTACGCCTTTCGGTCCAAGGGGCGTGACCACCAGATGCAGTATGTAGATCTATCGAATAATCCGCAGCTAACAGTGCTGCTGCTGAATATTAATGCCACCAATCTGACCGTTCGCAATTGTTCGCTGGACCGTGTCAATTTGTACGGCTCGGTGACGAATGTCGATCTGAGCGACAATCGCGTGAGGGAGCTCTATTTCCCCGCCTCAGAGGCTTTGGAGCACCTGGTGCTGCGCAACAATTCGCTGGTTCAGTTGGCCTCTTTGAGCCGCGTTCCCAAGCTGCGGCACTTGGACGTGGCCGATAATCCGGATCTGGGTCAGTTGCCCCAAGGTTGGCAAACGCCGCACCTCGAAATGTTGGTACTACGAAACACTGGACAAGTGGAAGTGCCACTGGAGGCTCTGCAGGGAATGCCAAACCTGCGAAAACTGGACATTTCCTTTAACAACCTCACCGAAATCGATCCCTCTACTTTCCCAACGCTCACGCAGCTAACTCACTTCTACATCCATGGAAACAATTGGAACTGCTTTAGTCTGCGAGTCGTAATGGATGTTCTCATCCGTGGCAATGGCATTACCTATACCATCGACGATTACAATCCGAATTTCCCGGGGGAGTATTTCCATGGAATTGCCTGCATGTATCGCTTGTCTGAGAAGGAGTCGCTGGACTCTTCTAGCTCCTCCTCGGAACTCTCGGCCAGTGTGGAGTCCTCGCCAAAACTAAGTAGTGCTGAGCCCAGCGAAGTGGAAAAACTGCGGCAGGAACTCAAGTCGGTGGTCCAGCACTTTGAGACCAAGTTCGATATGATCTTCAATCAACTCGCCCAGCTGAATGAGCAGATGCAGTCCTTTGAAGTACTTAACCAAACGGTTTGGAGTCAGGTCACCTTATCGGTCTAAGCAATTTATTATACCTTGTAAAAAAAATCGTATCTGCTTGATGTGATCAATAAATCTTTAAATCTGTTTTTATTGAAAGACAAATGTACATTTTCTTTATCGTCTTAATAGTGCAACAAAATTGGTAAACTGTGGAATACTCACATTTCCAAGTTAGAAATATTTTCTCTTGGCTTCTAAAGAATTCGCTTTTTTTTGATAGTGTTATTGCTTTTTACATTCTTTTTCAGTAGATTTCCGCTTCTGCCTTTCTTTTTTGTAGTTTCTACAGCCCTCTCGATAATCAATGACCGGCTTTGCTATCCCTCTTAAAATTCCCTTACGTAAAACCTATTTTTGCCACACATGCCCTAAATCTCTGTTGTTATTCCACCCCCAACCCCCAAAACCAATGCAATTTGCAACATGAGCACATCTGGTAAATATTTTTTTTGTGGCTGTGTCGTATACCTAGAATAATATTTAAACAAAAATATTGATTTTCAAGCCAAGTAAAGTCGGGGCTTTGTGTTCTCTTTCAGAAAGATATTGAAAGAGGTTCATTCAACTCGGGCAAACAAACAAATAACAAATAATAGGCGCAGGGGAACAAGATTGAGGGTCTCGAAAAAAACTTGCGTAATTGAGAAAATGCCCTAGAGGACCGGAAAGTCAATTGAAAAACAAATATTTCCCAAAAGTAAACAATAATATGGAATTCGATCGAAAGGCTTAAAAATTCAGTAATTAATTGGTTGTCGAATATTCTCCGCTGCGAATGCCAGCGGTCTTAATTATTTATGCTTTATTCCACCGATTCGTTCGCTCACAATTTATGGGTACTAATTGCCAAGATAAACAAACAGTTTCGGTTTCAGTGCAGCCACTTGGAAAGGAAGCGAATCGAATCCAATCCCACGGAATCCAACGATCACTGGGCGAACTGCTGATCCGTAGTATCGTGTGCATGTGATTAGGAATAGATATATACACAGATATTCTCGTTCGTACACGAATATCGAATAAATT